CCAGAGGTAGATTTTAATTTTCTTGATGTTGCGATATAATCCCAAATGAAGGCTGTAGTCTTTGATCTTTTGCAATAAGGATGTCAGGTCCTCCTCACTTTCAATAAGCAAAGTTGTGTCATCTGCATACTGCATGCTGTTGATGAATCTTCCCCTGATTCAGATGCCACATTCTTCTTTATAGAGTCCAGCTTCCTTTTCAAGTTAAGGCCATACTAAAGGTAGAGAAGTTAGATCACAGCTGCTTAAACTAGTATTCTTCTGTTGGTCATCCGTCACCACCTTTAGTAACCCAGAAAAGTCCACCAATGCCCTGGCTTAATTTGGAAGTTATGACCAGTATCTTGGCATTGTGCCGGCCCACAATCTACTAGGCTAGGCACATTGTGAGAGAACTAAGCTTTGTCCTGCCTGTGCATGTCACCCAAGTTGTAGTTCTATTCTCCTTCAAAGTGTAGAAATAAGTGAGCGAAAAGAATGTCTTGATTAGCTCGGTTTAAATCTTTGATGTCTCTATTTATGCAAATCAAGCAAGATTGGATTGGCGTTTCAGTTTGTAGCACATTTAATTTTGAGACTTTCATTGTTTTGAAGTACTCACTAGTGATTTTTTCAATTAAGTTTAAAGGTTTACTAACACAATACAAGATTCCCCCTCCCTTTACTTCTACATAATGCCAAATAAATGGTATTTCAGATGAAAAGAAGCAATCACCACCTGACTAATGAACTCGGATACATTCTTTTACCTCTTACTGTGCAAAAGGCCACAGCTGTCTGACTTTGAATGGCTAGAGTTGAGAATCAATGATCTGGTCCTTGTTTGCTTAGATAAATGCACTTTGAACAAAGGTAAGACAGAGTAGAGACGTAGATGTGAAAGTCTATCAATTTTGTGTGTGCACATTTCTTGGAGAAAATTGTAGGTAGTGTAACAACCGCTTTTCAAATGTATTTGCATAAATTCAGCTTTATATTACCAATATTGGAAAATGGGATTAATTTTTTGCCACCGAGTTGTTTTTCTTCTTTACTGTCGTTCTGGGATTTTATGAGCAGGCTGGGAGAAGAAGGAAGGCAAGATTACATATCAAGTATCTTTGATAATTAGCTTTTTTGCCTTACCATCCCTTTGTTTTTTTGTCTGATGCACTTTTATTATTACAGAGATTAGGACTTTTCCATTGTTGTCAGAAAAGATCAAGTAAATCAAACATGTAAACAGAGTTCAAAAGGGAAACAAAATAAGCTCTGATAATAACTTCAGTTTTATTAAAATGATGGCTTTCCATGGCATTAAATTTTGTAGGTGAGCATAGCTCAGTTTTGTTGGACATAACTAAAATTGCCAGTATTACCCTGAAGCAAGTCCTGAAATTTCACAAAACTTATACAGAATTGTCTTTGAATCATTTTGACTTAAAGAAATTACCGTGTTAGGGTGACAGACACTAGAGCTATTCCAGAGTAAGGCAAGTATGCTTCCTGTCACAAACAGGTGCCCCTTTCCATGCCACTTCTGGGAAAGAAACAGATTTAGTTCATTTTGTTTTGTTCAAATACTGTCTTTTTTTAGGAATTAGGATACTATGAAAGTAAAACATGAAGGCAATGATGGTTTATTGGTAGAATTCTCATCTTCTGTCCTGAAGACCTGGGTTTATTTCTTGACCAGTGAAAATCAAGCACAGACACATCCCTTTGCCAGTGGAGGATTTGCATGCTGATCTGATACTGAATAGGTTTCAACAGTGGTGTTAAACAGACGAAGATGGATAGGAAGAAAGACCTGGTGATCTACTTCTGCAAATCAGTCAACGAAAACTTTAAGGGTAGCAACAGTCTGATCTGCATCTAATCAGGAGACTGGTAAAGAAATAGGTGACATTGTGTTCCTTTATGTGTAAGAGTGCCCTGTGTCGGAGGCCAATTTGATGACAGCTAGTAGTCAACAACAATAACGAGAGGAATGAAGTAAAGGTAACATGTTGTCGTCTTTATTAAAAAAATTCTCCTAACTGAGAAATTCAAGCCTAAAGTTGTAATATTGAAGGATGTTATGGACAGAATATTAAAGGAGCAGAAAGAATAAAAATTCTCAAAAGAGAATTGAAGTATACATGGGACAAGAATTGACTCATGTGCATCTGTTTTGTTGTTGTGTACTATCAAGTTGGAACCGACACACAGTTGAGTGACCCTCTAGCAGGTTTTCAGAGGGAATGAATTGCATGGGAAGAGATTGCCTATCTTCCACAGATAAACTGCATTGAAATGGCATACTGTGGAGTTGACACTCAATTCCATACCACTGTGCCAAGATCCGGTGGCACTGAAAGAAGAAGTGCAACATGCTTTGGAAACATTGACAAAAAACAAGGCTCTAGGAATTATTGTTGTTGTTATGTGCCATTGAGTAAGACTCACAGTGACTCTATGAACAACAGGTTTGAACCTCCACAGGTCTTATCCTGTGGCATCCTCACAATTTCTGATATAGTCAAGCCCATTGCTG